ACAAAAGACGCGAAATTTATAACTTTTTTTTTTAACATTTATTTATGATTTTCAAGAATAAAACAGCCAATATAGAAGACGAAACATCAAGGAAAAAAAACAAACAAACAAAAACATCAAAAACAAAAATCCACAAGACAGAACAATCGAAACACTGTCAGCTAACAAAGTTTATGATAAGAGGATAAAATAAGTACATATCAGACCATAGAGTGTTATCAAGCATGAGACAGAGTCCGAGCGAGGAACAGTCATTACTGAAGACATTGAATCAAACAGCTCACCATAGAATATGGAATAACAAGATGAAAAAACAAGTTATCACAGAAAAAATAACAAAACGGTAAATGAATAAAATAAAAAGAAAATACAGTTCAGATGAAAACGACTGTTATTTTAGCCTATTATTTTGTATGTATCTATTGAAAGGACCCCACACATCCAGGAACTTCTGATGATCGTCAGACAATGAGTATCGAATTTCCTCAAGTTAGATGCAGGACACCATATCATTAAGCCATTTCTTAAAACAAGGCGGGGTAGAGGATTTCCATTCCCGAAGAATAACCCGTTTTGCTACCACTAAACCAAACATTAGAGACTGTTGCAGGGACATGGGAAGAGCAAGAGAGGATTTAGAGCAACCCAAAATTATCAAATGCCAATCCGGACATAGGGACTTGCCATAAGCGTTGCTATAAAATTCAAAAATCCTGCACCAGAAGTCCATTAGTTTAGGACAAAAACAAAACATATGACCCAGTGTCCCATCATCTAATTTACATTTGTCGCATTTTGGTGAGACGGAGGGGAATAACCTATTGAGTTTAGTTTTAGAGAAGTGCAGCCGATGGATAACTTTGAATTGAATAAGTTGAAGTCTAGAGTTAATGGAACAGGTTTTGATTCTCGAAAGGGACAAATCCCATTGCTCATCCGCAATCTCACCAGTCAGATCAGAAGCCCAGGCCTCCTTTATATGTCCGAAATTTATAACTTTTTCAGCCATTTTTACAGATATTAAGTTAGTAAAGTTAGTTAGTTGTTTAATTATTGGAGTCAACAGTCAGTTTAATGTTAGATTAAAGCAGTGGTGTACTGACCCTTGTTTTTCACTAAAGAAATGCAAAGTTTAAACTCATTACCTTGTAATAGTCAAGCCCAATGTAACAGCAAAATCCCAATGTATCAGTTAAACCAAATCAGCTGCTCTTTTTCTTTCTACGTGCGTGGCCTTCCTGTTAGCGATGGCTGAAAACCAGCTTAAATGTTTTTTTTTAATCCTCTTTTACGAGGGCAGGGTGACTCTGCAGTTTTGCAGTAGTGTGATTAAAATATTTTATCCCTCTTGAAAATTAATTCAAGCCCAAACAAGCTTCATGTTTACAGCTGTAGTTCTGACGCAATTGTTGTTTTATTCGACTTGCCTTAACAAGCATCTAGTGTGGTAGTCCACAAACTTTTAATCCACTGACACACAACATAACATCAGCAGAAACTCGTGACTCCAAATATTGCAGATTGAAATGTACAGTAGTTCAATTAAACATGTATGATGTCAGCTTAAACAGCCTCAATGTTTGTTGTGTTTTCTGACCCACAATAAGAACCAACAGAAAGTTAGTTGAGAGAGAAATATTCCCTCTGCTTTGACAAATACAAACTTTAGATTATTTTAATTCATGCACATAACATTTTTGTTGAACATTTTCCCCCAGAAACGTACTGTGTAGAACGGTACAAAAGCAAACACCATATAAATGAAGAAGAGTTTGAAAAATTCATCTGTAGCCTCAGGTTGAAATTTTATCCCTCCAGGGCAGGATGTACAGTGTTTGGTAAACCTTATGTTTGTACTTTTTATGATTTTTTTTTTATCAAGGTTTCATGGAGTTAAACAAAACTTGCAGTTTTTGTATTAACAAAAAGAGATTTTAAAAATATAATTAGAGATGTTTGCAACAGGTAAAATACTGTTCATAATCTTTCCACAGAACCACACTTCAAAAGAGCTAAACTATTGCTTTAATGTTTCAATGCCTCTATTTTTTTTTACCTTCTGTTGTTTTTTTCCTTCAAATTTACAGAGAAACCAAAAAGATGTCCAGGTCTGGGACTGTTCTATGCTTTCCTGTCCACCCTTGTCTTCTCCATCGTTTCTCTTTTGGTGAAAACCATCCAGGACATCCACGCCATAGAGATCAGTGCAATACGTTGCTTATTCCAGATGATTTTCGTTGTGCCGTTACTCATCTATCACAAGTAAGCAAAACTGTTTTTCTAATATGTGTGGCAAAAATTGGTTTTATTGAACTCCTAATGCCAATGTTCTCTGGCGATGCTAGCTTATGTTTGTGCCTTTTCACCCAGTTTAAATGGAATTGTTTGCTCTATACTGCTCAAACGATAAGTTGACCAAATGTTCCGATAATGCTTGCCTTTGCATAAAATTACAAAATGAACCTTTAATGTTCATACTGTTATTTAATCTAGTAGTTATTTTGTGGGAATAGTGCCATAAAAATGATTTCACTCAGTCAGAAATATTGCTTTTTTATTCCACACTTCTACAAACAATATGCTCTAGGGTGCTTGGTATTAAATAGTTTTAGAATCTTTTTGTCAAATAAAATAAAGGGGAATCTCAAAAGCATTTATCTCTTTGTCGTTAATCCATCTTTTCATCCTTGTTTCATTTTTTTAATTCCTTAACTTTAAACCGTCTACTTCGCCCTCTCACCCACTTCATGCATCATTGTTGTTGCCGTTTCAACTAAATCTATCCATCTCTTAATTCAGCCACTTTGTCGTCACCTCACATTTTTCTCCATCTTTTGTTTTCTTGGTTGTTTTTCTATTATTGTTATTTCTTGGCTGCATCAGTCTAGTCTCTCATCCTCTGTGTCATTAGTTCATCCATCGCCCTCGTCTCCTCTCCTCCAGGACAGGTTTCCTTGGTCCCAGAGACAAACGTATTTATCTGGTGCTTCGAGGTTTCCTCGGTTCCATTGCAACAATCCTGTTCTACTACGCCATTCAGCAGATGCCGCTGGCAGACGCCATCGTCATCATGTTCAGGTGAGCGCCTGTGCAATCCAAGCTGTTCTGGATTAGTTAAGATTATATAAAGATTACAAATACATTTGTTTCCGTTGTGAATTGTTAAAGTGTCCATCTATCTTCTGTAGTCTTTGTCAGTTTTATTCTGAAAAATGTTCTCAAAAGAGCTTCATCAAAGACAAATCTCTGTCTTTATAACAATACAYCCGCGCTAATCTCTTTCACACTCATCCTCCTTTTGTTGTTGATCCCTCAGCAATCCAGTCTTTACCTCCCTGCTGGCTTGGGTCTTCCTGAAGGAGAAATGTACAATCTGGGACTTTGTTTTCACCATTTTCACCATCGCAGGAGTCATCCTTGTGGCCCGYCCATCGTTCATCTTTGGCGAGCGTCTTAGCAGCGCCGAGGGCGTTAATCACGTCAAGGGAGCCGCTGCTGCTTTTGCAGGTGACCCAATCACCTCCTTTTGTTTGACTTCTAAAGAGAAAGTGTAATCRCATTAGTTGAAGGACAATGTTGGGAGTTTTATTCACCTTTCTGGGCAGGAGCTCCATGGCAGCCAGGGCAGTGAGAATTTATCTCAGCTCATCACTTTCAGTTTTATCTCCCTCACAAAGGAAAAATAAAGAAAACACAGTTGTGTGCCTCTGTAGCAAAGCCTGCAGCTGGTTGGCTGTATATTTCACTTGCTAATATGCTAACTCTTGTAGCTTGTTGCAAACATTTATTTTAAAATGGTTAGCTTAAAATAAGAGACGGGTGTAGCTTCTCTGGTTTATAAACTATGGCTGTGTCCAAATTCAGGGCCCGTGTCCTTTTGAAGGCTGAGTTTTTTTGGCCACGTACGTCACTGTGCTGCACCACAGGCTGCCCAAATTTGAAGACTCCTCTAATTGCAGCCCACAAATGAGGGACAGGTCTGGTGGATCCAACTCTGCCCAGCCTTTCCCAAGATTYGACTGGAGATTTGAATTTTTATTTTTATTTTTTTGCTCGTAATGGTGGACGAAGCGATAGAATGGAATAAATAAAAATCTGGCGGTTAAAAAACAAAGTTTAAAGCTATTGGGTTGTTAGACTATTGTTATTTGCATAGACATGTTTTTTTATATACATATTATTATTGTCAGAAATCAAACAAACTGGTATGGCGAAATAAAAGTGCACGTCCATTACTTCTTCAAATTTTGCCTTTAAGATATTTTTGTTGTTTTATAAAATTACCGTATTTATTCAAGTATAATATGTAAAATTAAATCCATAAAATCATCCATAAAGTTGGGGGGTAGTACTATACTCTGATAAATATTTTTACTTATGTCTTTTAACTAAAATATTGGCTTCATTCACAAAATGCCTGAGTCTGGAAATGAGAATAAAAATGGGAAATAAAGCTGGAGTGCATGTATAATTTATAAGTAACAATGATCTAAACCAGTCCTGAAGTCAGCCTGTAACTTAGACTTTAGCTTGTTGAAAAATTATGACTTCAGCTAGTAATAAAGTATATTTATTAATTCTTCTTACTGTCATAAAAATAATAATATTTATATTTACCAGTCAACAGTTAGAAAATGTTCTCTGGTTATAGGATGAAGCTTGTCTCTATTAGCTAACCATCTTCTCAACATGTCAGGTTCCTCAAACAGAAACCTAAAAATACTCACATTTATAATATTATTTTACACTCTGTAGTTCTAAATATTAATCAGAGGACAAGTCAGCTGTAATATTTAATAGTTTGTGTTAAATTGTAGCATGATTCAACAATGCTACACTCTGTATAAATGCTCCACAATCTAATATCTGYTAACCAGTTCAATAAATAACAGTGATTACATSGACTTTATAAGATTATTTTAATTTTAAACTGTTACATTATGTTCTGCTCAGATCACATTAAGCTAAATAAGATCAAATCTGCTGACTTGTGTTGTGAAATGAGATGTTTTACATTTTATCTTCTGTTAATAAATCCATAACACAAACAGCTTTTCTGACATTATTTAAAACATTAGATAGATTATATAAACTGTAAAATATTTTTAAAAATTGGGTTAATATTATTATTAATAGTTTTTTTATGATTTCTACATTGTTAGTCCTTTTTTCTGCTCTGTTGTCAACGTACAGTAATGGGAAATCCACTCTTGACCATTTTGCGTTAGCTTCACCAGCTGATCACATGGTTTCTGCGCACTCCAGCTGTTCTATAGCCTGGCCCTTGCCTTCCTACGCAGTTCCGCTCAATTCTAGTTTCCCTTCACTGCTCCGTCTGGGACTTCTCCCATAGAGAAGGATTTCGCTGGCAGATTTTTAGCCGGGCCAATCAGAGAACAGAACGTCGATTTTCTGCGCGGTTTCTGCTTGTAGTTTATTTTACCTGGGTCAATCAGCAAACAGAAGAAAGAGTTTTGAACGACGTCGATTTTCTGCGCAGTGTCTGCTAGTTAGTTTAGCATACGGCAGTGGAGGAAGTGAATGAAACCAGTCTGTGTTGATAAAGCTTCCAAATTAAATTAAATTTGTCTGACAAAGCAGCAGCTCTCATTTACAGCCGTCTCGTTTGGCTCGGTATATTTCTCCTCTCAGTAGGGTTGTTTACAGCACACGCGATTTCTGGTTAGCTTCATAGCTTAGCCTCCTTCACAGCGACAACACATACACTTCAGCAGAGGCCACGCCTCCTGCAAGAATCGCTTCTCTATGTAGCAAGTCCAGACCCTTGTACGAAGCAAAGTGAAGGACAGGGTCTGGTTTATACCAGGCTAGCTGTTCTATAGAACCTCCTTGGTGCGCTCACCACAATAGCACAGTCAACAGTAATGTCTTTCCCAAGTTGCCTGGTTTTCTAGAAACAGACGGAAACAGTTTAGACACCTCTTTTCACGTATTCACCTTTTTATTTATATCCTTCCATTTAGGAGCGATCGCAGCTGCCTTTACATTCGTCATTCTCCGCAAGATGGGGAAGAGCGTCCACTACTACCTCTCCTTGTGGTACTATGCCGTCATTGGCCTCATCGCCAGCGTCATAACTGTATCCGTCCTCGGGGAGTGGAAAGTGCCAAACTGCGGCCGCGATCGCTGGATGCTGATTGTCATCGCTGTCCTGGGCATCGCTGGCCAGACCTTCCTCACAAAGGCGCTGCAGATCGAGAAAGCCGGCCCCGTGTCCCTGTTGAGGACTGTGGACGTGGTGCTGGCCTTTATCTTCCAGTTCATTTTCTTCAACCTCGTRCCGACATGGTGGAGCCTCGGCGGGGCGCTGTGCGTGGTGGTGAGCACCAGCGGAGTAGCCGTTAGGAAGTGGTACACCAGCTCCCACAAAAACAAAGATGGCGGCAACATGTGATGTCAGACTATAGTTTAGGTTTTTCTCCTTCAGTAACACATTTATGACTTTTTCTGCACTTGTTTGTTGTTTAGGTGAAAAACCAGAGAGAAGGTTCAGCCTCGTTCAAGGCTTGAAATTAGAATTTTAAAGGTGATTTCTGTGTATTTATACATGTTGATTCTTTAAAGTCAACTTGTGTAATTTACTGTATGCAAATTTTTGTGTAAAATTAACTCACCTCTGTAGGGAATAAGAGGAAAAGCCAAAAGCTTTTCTCCTTGTAAGTAGCTTAAGTAAATGTAAAGGCTCTGAAAGTTAGGTTTCAACTGAAAGAAGCAATTTAATCTTATTTTTGATTCACTTTAAGTGCAATAGCCTAAAAGAAACACTGTTCTTATGGTGCTATGTTTCCCAAAAATAATAGATATAAATTTTTGTGTGTGATTTGCACTGAGCGCTAATGAATGAAAACCTTAGCTAAGCACTTAGAAGCATTTATAGCTTTTGAGACAGAGTGTTTGTTTTTATAATACTTTAATTTTAAACACTAATTATAACAAAGACTTTAAATCCCCACTTGGGTGGGCATTGTTCTTGAGAATATTCTAAATAATTGCCTCAGGGATTTCTCATTTGTTTTGGGTTGCACAAATTACACTTACTGATTTATTTGTTTTATATTTGACGATAGGATCTCTAACATATCTGTAAAATGAAGGGAACTTAAATCTCCAGCMGTTTGCCTTGTAGTTTGATCATAACCAGCAGCTTGTACAGGCATGCTAATGGTATTAAGCCACACAACAACATATATATA